GAGATGGTGGTGCGCTATCGCAAGAAGAATATCGCCAAAATGCAGACATTGAAACACTCGCACACCACCAAAATGATCAAACGTCAGATCAAGAACATCAACACAGATGTGACGGTTGTTAAGCTGTTGCGCAAAGAGGAGGAATTGGTCCGCATTCAGGACAGAATACTCCACGACTTCGGCATCAAACGAGAGGTCAGTTTTACATCTATTTTTGCCCCCTTTTTGTTACACTATTGTTAACATTTTTGGTGGTGTTTGGCAGGACTTTGAGGGCCGGTTCGACATCCACACCATTGTGGGAACGGAAGCCGAGTTCCTGTCCACACATTTGGATAGAGTGACTGAAATACTCAAACAAAAAATCTGAAACTTATCCGTCCATTAATTTTTTGCAATTATTTTTAATCGTTATTAAACTTCACTTTTTAATATACAATTGATTACAACACAAACTATTTTTATTATACATATATTTTTATAATCATTTTATACACAAAATAATTTTTTGATAACTATTTTTGAAACTTGTATTTTTATAATAATATACTATTAAATTAATTAAAAAATTAACTGATAACTAAACACTCAAAGTTATTACATAAGTAACTTTAAATTACTTTAGTTATTAAATAAACAAAACATAAGTGATAAATATAATAACTAATAATATAAACAAAAAACTACAAAAACAACCCAATTTGTGTTTGAATAATTGCAGTACAATAAGAAAGTAAGTAAGTTAAGTAAGCATATGGTTTAAAAGGTAAGACAAGAATATAGAAAAGAACATTAAATTACTTTGTACAGTATACTAATTAAGAATTTGTATTTATTATCAAATTAATTATCAATAATTCTTATCATTAGTATCTTAAAAGTACAATTTTAGATAACATTTTAATTGAATATTACGTTAAACAAATTTAATTATTTAAAATAATTATTATACTGTACTACAAAAAATTACTTATTGATTCCGATGATTTTCATGTGGAATAGGGGCTGGTAGGCCAGGTATATTTTGCAGGTACAAATAGTCATTATCTCTGCCCGGGATCTCGGTGCGCCTCCACTTATAAGAGTCGTTATCCCAGACATCGACGGTAGTATAGCCCGGGTGTCCGTTCCGTACGTATTCAATCTTACACTCTCCCCTTACTGTCCAAATTGGGTCAATGATACCTATACGATGACAGACCTGCCTATTCTCGTCAAACACATACCGGTGCGGACATGTCTTCTGATAGGGAACACCATTACTGCAGATGTAATACTGTCTGGCATTATATGGGTCTGTGTAGAGTCGGTAGCCATAGGACGGGCATAGGAAGGTATAGGGTCTTGGCAATCGGGAAATACATCCTTTTCTGCTGATATCAAACACCTCATTGGACCGACATGTAACGTGAGTGGTCTGTCCAGTGTTGCAGATATAATACCTGTATCTATCGTCTGGGTCTTCATAGACATGATAGCCATAGGTTGGACAGGGATACGACTTGGCACAACTGCTACCGTCGTATACGTAGCCATGGGGACAGGTAGCGAGCGTCGGGATATAATTATAGCAAATATAGTATTTACACGGATTTGACGGGTTTTTGAACCAGCCGTTTGGTGTGCGGCACCGGGAGTCTAGTTTTGCAATCGCCGATTGAGATGAACTCGTCCTCAGGACAGCTGCGTCTGTATAACCGGTTACTTATGCAGCGGGTTTCCGGGTATTCTGTGTCCACCGGACAGGCGGTGTGGATGTCATTAATATGTATGACTAGTATTATATAAATTGTCGTTAAGTACAAAAGCATTTTCATGTCTTTATAGTTTCTAAACAACTTATAAGACAATATGTACAGTACAGTACAGACAATATATTCATTCTAACGAAATTAATAAAATTTACATTTGATTCTGTAAAAATAATATAAAAGTCATATTACAGAAAAGTAAAAGTTACAAAATACAAGGTCTTATAAAACTTTGAATTCTTGTGTTAAAATTATGATACTTAATACTATTAAGTTAATAGTAAATATTATTTTCAAAATAATAATACAGTTATATCAATATTATCTTATTTCTCAAGACTATCTGATTTTAAATATCGTTACAATATTATACTAATATAACTTGATATCAAAATTACGGTAAAAAGTAATACAAAATATTTACCAAACAAGTTGTTATTATAGTAATGAATGAATGAGTTGTTTGTGGGATGTTATCATCTGAAGAGGAAGCAGACCTTAATTTCACAGTAAATGAAGACAACGAACACTTGAACCCTGAGAGGGAGGAGCGGGTGATCCGAGCGGATCCGGACGTTGGCATTGAATCCCTGGCCCAGCAATATGTGAATCGAGTCCTCAAAACCAATTGTTTTTCATTCAATATTATGCTTTTGGGTCAAACAGGAGTGGGAAAGTCAACACTCATTGACTCTTTATTTCGGGTTAAATTCAATGATAATTCCTGTCATAATCACTGTCTCTCAGAAGTGGAAGTCGTCTCAAATTACTATCATTTGTACGAAAATGATATACACATAGAGTTAGGTGTGATTGAGTCCAATTATTTCGGGTTAAATTCAATGATAATTCCTGTCATAATCACTGTCTCTCAGAAGTGGAAGTCGTCTCAAATTACTATCATTTGTACGAAAATCATATTCACATAGAGTTAGGTGTGATTGAGTCCAAAGGGTTTGACGACCAGATAATTAAAGGTTTGCCACAATTAGTAATAATTCCCATACAGTAACAGTAATTCAATTGATTTGATACTTTAATTTAATTTCAGATAAGCCTTACGAACCAATTGCCAAATATCTAGACAAACAAATGGAGGAATATTTAGACGAAGAGCTCAAAATAGAGCGAAGATCTGAAATAAAAGACACTCGAGTTCACGCGTGTCTGTACTTAATATCTCCGGTCGGACACGGATTGAAGGAAATAGATTTGGTGACAATGAAAGAGTTGGACACAAAAGTCAATATAATTCCAGTGATTGCAAAGTCAGATCTCATTACGAGATCAGAGATGATTGACTTAAAGCGTAAGATTATGAGTGAAATGGACACAAATTCAATCGGTATCTACCGGTTCCCTGTGGATGACCCACAAGTGGCACAAATGAATGGCGAGAACAACTCGCTTCTGCCGTTTGCAGTGGTGGCCAGCAATCAGTTTATTACAATAGGCGACAGAGAGGTCAGGTCTCGACAGTACCCCTGGGGTACAGTTGAAGGTAACGTATTATTTATTCATTAAATTTTTGTATTGAGAATATCTGTATATTTAATAGTGGAAAATGAAAGTCATTCCGATCTCATAAGACTCAGAGATATGTTATTAAGAGTTAATATGAATGACTTGAAAGAGAGGACACATTCACAACACTACGAGATATACAGAAGTGAACGATTGGATCAGTACTGGAAAGAGAGACAAAGAGAGCTCTCTTTGAATATGAAGAGAGAAGAGAATGAATTGATTACAAGATATAAGAATATATTCAGCGCTAAAGACGTTGAGCTCAAGAATATGGAGAATGAATTGCACCGAAAGTATGAGAAAATGCATAAACACTTCATTGAGGGCAGGGATATGTTGGAGGCAGAGAGGGTGCTGTTGGAGGAGGACATCATGTGTCTGAACCGGAGGAAGCAATTGCTGAGAGATATGAATATTAGAGACGCCAGAGAATACCAAATCCCTAAAAACCCTAAGAGTCCTAATAATCCAAAATCTAAATCCAAATGAATAAAAATTTTATTTTTAAATTATAAAAGTGTTTTATTTTTCATTCATTTTAATAACTTGTAATAAAATAACTTGTATTTTTAACACAAATAACACGAAATAAATATAATATTAAGTTTATATGAAATATACGTTACTTTTTAAGAATGTATTACAACTTAACGTAAGTATTAATGACATGCATGATAACTAATTATTTAATTAACAATAACAAACTAATAAAATAAATTGATTTACAATTGTAATGATTAAACAATTTTAACAATCCTTAGGCTTCAGAGTCGATGTAATGAGATGTAAATGTAATGCTCTTAAATGAATTGCACCGAAAGTATGAGAAAATGCATAAACACTTCATTGAGGGCAGGGATATGTTGGAGGCAGAGAGGGTGCTGTTGGAGGAGGACATCATGTGTCTGAACCGGAGGAAGCAATTGCTGAGGGATATGAATATTAGAGACGCCAGAGAATACCAAATCCCTAAAAACCCTAAGAGCCCTAAGAATCACAAATCTAAATCCAAATGAATAAAAATTTTATTTTTAAATTATAAAAGTGTTTTATTTTTCATTCATTTTAATAACTTGTAATAAAATAACTTGTATTTTTAACACAAATAACACAAAATAAATATAATAATATTATCAAGTTTATATGAAATATACATTACTTTTTAAAATGTATTACAACTTAACGTAAGTATTAATGACATGCATGATAACTAATTATTTAATTAACAATAACAAACTAATAAAATAAATTGATTTACAATTGTAATGATTAAACAATTTTAACAATCCTTAGGCTTCAGAGTCGATGTAATGAGATGTAAATGTAATGCTCTTATTCTCGTGCATTGTTTCAATTGAATCCAACCTTTGTTTGCGTCTAAAGAATTGCAAAATATCGAAATCATTTGCTCTGTATATGAGTGCTAACAATGCAATCATACGCCAGAATATCAAATGACCTACAAGTGAATAATTTTTGATATAATGTAACATTTAATATACAGTATAAATAATACCTAAAATCCAATACAAGTTGCCTTTCATTTGGCTGTCATCGAGTTTCAATTGATGCAAAAGTATAGGCATTTGCGAGTCATCGCACCGATCGAAACCGTATATTGAGATCAGAATGGATTCAAACGTAAGTTTAATAAATGACAGATAACTAGAGCCGCGGACTATCGAGTGTTGTATAGTTAGGGGCACAAAGAAACCGGATAATAGCACCAGGACTAGGAATACGGCCACACCTGAAGTGGTGGCCACTTGATAGTTGTGGGCAAACAGTATTCCCATCAAATAGCCAGCGCTGTTGGCGATTATCATTCCGCATGCCTGTAAATAACATAATGTCATTTGAATTGGATATTAATGTGTCTCAAAATACAAACAGTAATGAGAGTGAAGTAGACATATCTGAATGTCTGGTCCAACTGCCCGGTACCATAGTAAATAATGAAAGAATAAATGTACGAGATGAGTACTGAAATTGGTATTTCGACCATATATTTGGACCAGAAGTAGGAACTGGTGGAATACCACTTGTTGTGGTGTTCGTTGAGAAATATGCGAACTTCGGAGGGGAAAACCAGTATAGTACAGGCCATGGATACAAACTGGAGGAATGCAATGGCGAAGAACTGGCACTTTAGGTTTAGAGACACTTTCGATTCCTGGCTTAAGATATTTAAGGCCTGTTCTAGTGATGCGGGCATTGAAAGGGTCTGATTGGAGGTAAACAGGTTTAAACATCCGTTTTCTTGACCGATGTCTGTCCCGTACAGATATAACAGGAAGAATGAGACAACGATTGCGAACGAACTCAGGGCTGCCGTAACTCTCCACTGATATCTCACCTGATTTTCGTTAAAAATGAATTTCAAAAATTTTATATACATGTCAATTGTCAATACTTACAAAACAAGTGATTCCACGCATTAATAGATAATAAAAGTGAATCAAATGAAAATATTTGGTTTGTTTGTCAATGGTTTTGGATAATCTGCCACTTCTTAGGCAGTCGTCTCGGAATTGTTCCGATGGTTGGTATGAGATCTGAATGAGTCGATCGATTTCATTGCCTTCTATGACAAGTGTCTGAACGCTTTCATCGGAATTAATGTGATTCTAGATATAAAAATCTTGTTATTATGATAATGAACCAAATAAATATTTATGAAACTAAGTTCAAATATACAAACTTTTGCAAGAATTACCCCATTATTAAAAATAGCGTTTGGAAATTTGGATGATATCTTCAACAAGAGTTCAATCGGGAGGACATCTTCAGCGCAGGTGATGCCACATCTGAGGAGATGTCCTCTGAGGAGGTTTGGGGGACCCGTGAAGACACAGTGACCTCCTTTTGAGAGGACATACAACTCATCAAACATTGACAGCAGGAGTGAGTTTGGCTGATGTATTGACGTCACGATTGCCATCCGATGTCTCTCTGATAATTGTTTTAGACATTGAATCACCTGTCATTCATTTATTGCAAAAAATAATCATTTTAAATTTCATTCATATATAATCGATCATAGACAATAGAAAAAAGTATTATGAAAATCTATGAATTATTTTTTAAATCACATAAAATTAAGTTCTTAATATTAATTCTAAATATTAACAAAAGTATTCAGAATTTTAATATTGTGCATGTAATTATTTTTAACTTTCCATATATGGTTAGCATAATATTATTTTATTACTATTTCTGTCTATTTAATTTTTAATTTAATTATCAGTTTATTTTTATGCCTATTTTATTGTTTTATATTGATATTCGATAATATTTCATAATTGACATGTATTTACATTAAATTTACTAATTTATTGATCAGAAATCGTACCTAAATTTTAATAACTTATTGTTAAAGTAAAGAAAATGATTTTTTAAAATTAAAAAATAGACATTTAAATGCTAGTTTCAAGGATTAAATGATACAAGTCCATGGATACAAATCTAACTTAAAACTATGTTTAACTATACAGTATATTAATGAGTTTTATTTTTATTTATTTTACAATATTTTCCTTGTAAGTAGCAATCAGTTTATTGATTTATGTAACAGTAAAATTTTCCAATTATTTTTTAAATTAAGCAATTTATGAGCGCAAAATAAACTTTTGAGAATAAACATTAATTTATATATTAGACAATCAACAACCAAAATTTCCCTAAACTTCATTTATAACTAGATTTATGATATATACTAAGAATCCTTTAATATTATTAGTTATAAACTTAATTTTCCGCATATATTTATTATGAAATCATGTGGTGCAATAATAAATCAAAATTAAATATAGCTTTCTTAAATTAATACATAAATCACAATTGGCGTAATGAATATTAAAATTAAATAACAAAAATATTCACCATTTCTGAGGCATTGCTGTCGAGACCACTGGTGGGCTCATCGATACACAAGAGGTTTGGCTTCATTTGCTGAACCAATTCGAGTCCGACGGACAGCCGCTTCTGTTCGCCACCACTGCACGTCTGCACACTATTGTCGGCGCAGTCCTCCAGAAGCAGTTCACACAATATCTTCCGGACATTCAAGTTGTNGAACCAATTCGAGTCCGACGGACAGCCGCTTCTGTTCGCCACCACTGCACGTCTGCACACTATTGTCGGCGCAGTCCTCCAGAAGCAGTTCACACAATATCTTCCGGACATTCAAGTTGTGGTCAAAATTGCCCTTTTTGTCAGACGGATCCAAGCAATCTGTGAGAGTGGATCCGCTCATTTCACACTCATTTTCCGGACAGACATCCAAACATAGCAATGATTGTCCCGTCTGTGCATAACTGTCTCTAAATTTGGTTTTAGATTTTCCCCAATTTTTAATTTTTGATGCAAATAATAACGATTCCCTATAAGAATTGCAAAATATAACTTTACTACTTAATCGATATTTGTATTCAATATTATTCAATTAAACAAAAATTTATTAACATTTCTTTGAATGAATAGTAATCGATATATGAATTATTATTTTACTCATATTATATTTAAAACTAGTAAAATTATTGTACTGCACTGCAAATTATTGTATTGTAAATATTTGTGGATTTGAAAAACAATTTAAAAAGCCGTAAAGCATAGAATATATAGTCATGTAGTGATAAGCTTTAAATTCAAGATAACTCACCTTACTCATTCGTATATTGAAATATGTAATCGTAAGTTGTGAATTTAAAGCTTTTCACTACATGACTATATGATCCTTTGGGTGCAAGAAAGGTCTATGTGATTTTAAATGGATATATTGCATATTATACTAGATAAAACATAATAAACTTATTTAATATTACTCATTACTAATATAAATAATTAACACATGATTATAAATGTTTATTTAAAAATTTATTCAAAGTTTAATAAAAATTTTGTATAAAATTCACGGTTTTTTGGGTCTAAATATTTTTGGAAAGATTTTATGTCTTTAATTTTTTCGGTACTAATGGTTGATTTAGGGGCAGTTTCTATAAATTTTATACACTGTTTTAATCTATTAATATCTGTTTTTAATAAATTGGTTTTATGTGAATGGAAGTTTTGATATTAAAAGTGTATTATTTATGCCTCACTTACAGTTTGCATGCATTACGCACTTAGACCTTTTAAGCACTGGATTATCCATATATTCTATGCTTTACTGTTTTCTCAAATTGTTTTCCAAGTCCACATTTTATCAAGTCAAAATTGAGAATATTTTAGGATAATGTCATAATTTTACCTAACTTTTTAATTTTGAAAACCTAATTAAAGTGAATATTAGTTATTTTGATCAACATAGAGATAAAAAGCATTGATATTGTGCATAATATTCTGGCAATATATCAATAAAAGCTCAGATAATCCCAAACTTTACTATTTTATCTATTTTTAGAGTATAATTAGGATTACTGCTATATTTATAATACCGGTAACATCTGAATGAATGCTTAAATTCCTGGTTCACTACATTGAAAAGTGCTTTTTAAAGTAACTTAAATTTAGATTTTATAGCAGATTGTCAAATAGAATAGACTTAAACTATTATTTTATGTTTCTATAAATGAGATTTACAGGAAGGTTTGAGTGTCCCTGAAAATAATTCGCATAACTATTAGTGTAACGTTTCACTGGATTTTTGCTACTATTTACAATGGAAATGAATGTGAATTATCATTATCATTAACCTTCACTTTGATAAATACAGTACAGTTTATACGTGTATTGTACTAATTAATGACAACAAATCTACACGTGTTTTTACCTGACAGTTAAGCCCAAGAAAAGGTGTTCATCAGATGATTGCATTATGAAACAAGTCCTCAAATCGGTGTATTTGTTGACAAATATCTGTGTATCACTTGTGAGTCCAGAATTTGATCGCATATTAATGCACTTCAAAAGAGTGGTCTTTCCGGCACCGGACGGACCCATGAGTGCCGTCAGTGTATGGAAATTGATTCGTCCGGAAAGGGACACCAGAATTGGTTTGCTTTG